GACACTGGAGACATGGAGGCTGCTTGGAAAGATGGTTTATTGTTGGACAGGGCCACATGACTTGAGCCCTGACCAGAAAAGGTGATCACATGTTTCAATGTAGGTAGAGAAGAAGAGAAGGGCTGAGGAAGGGGCTTGCTAGGCTTTTTATACCCTGTTTAGTCCCATCTCTCTCTTTCCTGTTCCTGTGTAAGAAATGTATTCTGATTGGTTGTCAGACTCCCATGGTGCCATGCAGGGGGCTACTCTCTAGGCTGTGATGAATTCTCAGATGCCTTGTGGTCAGTTGAGTATATTATCATGCCTTTCTGTAGCTGCTGGTGAAGTCTTTATTATGTAAAGTGGGCTAGCCTGGCCATCTCAATGGGCCTATTGACAAAGTGGGGGTAGGCAGGAAGCTACAGGCAACTATTCTGTCTTTTAAAACATGCTTCTTTTCACATCCAGAGAAACATTCTGCCTTTTCAATATTTCCTAGGATATTTCATTTTTTCTGGGAGAGGGCTGGATGATAACTTCCCACAAGGCTGCTGAACTGTTACTTCACCTATGTTCTTCCTGGCTGCCCTTGCCACAATCTGTATTAGTTTCAAGATGAGCCTGTCCAGAACATGCATAGTAAATGGCGAAATCACAGAGAGAATCTGATTCAATCATGAAAGAAAATTTTTGAACTTTTTAGAACCAGAAGATTCATAGTGACTGCTAATCAACTCCTCCACTAAAGGTTGACTTTTTTTCTTGAAAAGCCACAAACAAGTAGCATAGAGCAAGGAGATATAGTTCATGATAGGACCAAAACACTGGAGGAGATTAATATTTTCTTCTTTTCAGTTTTCTTGATGCTGTCCCTTTGCCTGTTTCTTTTTTGTAAATAAAAGCATTTATTAACAGTTTTAAAAATAACGTAAAAAACTAATTCAGTCTAAAAAGAAAAGAAAAAAAGAAAAAACAAAAGTGAAGAAAAAAGAATGCAAAGAATTTTTTTAAAAGCTCCTGATTTTTTTTGCAGCATGATTAAAAAGTTATTTCCTTAAAAATAAAAAATAAAAAACCTCACTTTTTCTGTTATCTATTTTTTCCTAATAATTGAAACTATAAGTCATTTTTTTCTTTTTTCATGCAAAAAGACTATAAGAGGTTTTCATAGAGCCATAAATAGCAACAGCACTTAGACTTATATATCACTTTACAGTGCTTTACAGCCCTCTCTGAGCAGTTTACAAAGTCAGCCTATTGCTCCCAACAATTTGAGTCCTCATTTTACCCACCTCGGAAGGATGGAAGGCTGAGTCAACCTTAAGACTGGTGAAATCTGAACTGCCAAATTGCAGGCAGCTGCCAGTTAGCAATAGTAGTCTACAGTATTGCACTTAACTGTGGCTAATAAATGTAGTTATTGTCTTTTTTCTAATCTAAGAAATTAATTTAGCCATCTCTGCAAGTTCCATCATCTTCAACAACCATTCCTCCATTGTGGGTAATGTTTCCAATTTTGGGCTTACAATAGTCTTGCTGCAGTTGTCATATATAAAAACAAACTTCTGTGATTTGTTTCTAGCTCCTTATTTCTTACTTTTAGTTTTTGTTACTCCCTGAAAAGAATAGCAGGGAGGAGAGGCTCCACCTAGTGGAGAAATTGAGGCAGAGAGTTAATGTCTCTTCCCAGTGTTGTAGTCTTGATAATGTAGCAACCCCTTCCAATCTTCCCTAATTTTATGATTCTAGGAAGATTCAGGAAACCTGATTATGTCATCTCCATGGCACTATTTTCTTTGCCAATGTGAGTGTAAGTCATATAGGTCTACAGGGTAGTTATCTGGGTAATATTGTTAGGTCTTGCCTGTTAAGAAAGTTTGTCTTTCTTTTTAATTCTCATGGTTTGGTTGCATAGTCAACCAAATATTTAGACTGAATTTGATACTCTTGTTCCACTTATTGATTCCTTTCCATGGACCTTAGGTAGGCAGATGTTCTTGTCTGATGATGTTAAAGACATCATTGCAGGATGTAAGCTGTTCTAAGTAAAGCTGCCTTTTGCAATTGACTGATGATGATTTTGTCAATGCCAATGGTGTTCAAATGGTGCTCTAGTTATTTTGTGATTTCACCTAAGGTGCCTATTACTATTGTTACAGTCTTTGCTTTCTTTTGCTTCAAGACTTTCTAGTTCTGTTTGCAGTTTTCTCCAGGTATTTCTCTTCTATTCTGTTGTCTCTACATCTATTATCAATATTTTTGTCTTTCTTATCAATAACTGTCACCTCTTGAGTGTTATGTGGCAGGTGCTTATCTATTTGAATTCTAAAGTCTCAAAGCAATTTAGTGTCTTCATTTTCCATTACTTTGTCTGTTTTATAGTCTCACCAGTTGTTGCTTGGAGATAAATGGCATTTTTTGCTAATCTTTCAATGCACCATTGTTGCTACTTTGCCATGCTGCTGTTTGTTGTCAGTCTATTCTATTACTCCACGAACAGAATGTGATCTTCTTGCAGCAGATAATTAGGGGGTCCACTGTTTCTTCAGCTTATTTATAGAGCTGGTATTTACTGTCTTCTCAATTCTTGCTTAGTATGCATTATACATGCATATAAAGTACACAATCAGAATTAGTCTCTTTCTTCCATTTTTCTGCTGTTAGTCATTGTCAGGTCTTCTTGTTACTTGCTTTGCCAGCTATTCTTTTTTTTTTTTTTTAATGTACTGGCCATGTAATATTTGCCTTGCCATGTCACTTTTATATTCTTTGATCTTTCTTATAGATCTGTTAATCTGAGATGAAGCCTTACTTTCTGGGTAGCATAAAGACAGTGGATAATTAATTCGTTTGTTTGTTTGCAACCCCCCCATTTGTAATCTTTAGAAATAACTCAAAATGGCAAACATAGCCAACACTCACTGTGTATTTATCTTCTTTTTTTCCCCTCTTCACAGGGAAGAGAGTATATCCAGGAGAATCATTGGCTAAAATGGAAATCTTCTTATCATTTACCAATATGCTCCAGAACTTCACTTTTGAATTGACTATGGACCCTAAAGACATAGATTTAGAGAACTTGTTTATGGGCTGTAGAAAGGATGGGAAGCATCGGTACATTCGGGCAATCAAACATAAAATATAAATTAGCAATTGTCTCAAAAACAAATTTCCTCCATCCCAGCCCTAAATTTCTAATACTGTGTTCAAAGTTTCAGAAATGGAGTGCTGAAAAATAAAAGCATTCAAAATATATTTCAGTAAATGACTGTTCTACTACAAATAGCACCATCACCACCATTACAGTTATTTCTACTGATGTTTGAATTTTGATTTCATCCAGAGAATCTGATTCACAAAAGCACAAACTTTTTCAAGCTAAAGGTTGATTTAACTTTTTAGTAGTATGACAGGACCATAATCTCAATTTTAGACTGAAACCATGCCAAAAATTAAGATTTATTCAATTTGAATGTAACTAAAATAAATGAAAAATAGTTAACATTGAAGAATTATTTTAAAAAATATGTCATTAAAAATGCCGTTTGGCATCCTTTTAGGAAAGAATTTTAGTGATGCTGGTAACCAAAATCTAATCAATGTTTTCTTGTCTCTGTTGAAATACAGACACCATAGTACAGAATCAGAGTTTCATAATATGAATCATATGTAATATAATTTTTAATTGATTTCAGTAAAATGATTTCAATGTAATCTGAGAGTAGTTTCTTACTATTATCTAAAACAAATAAAAGTTTTTGACCTGAATGCTCATTGTGCTTGTTTATTTAGCCAAAATGTATGAACAATATGAACAAAATGAAACTTAACGGTATTTCCTCAACCTTAGACATGGCAGAAATTTCTAAAACTAAAAGGGATGAAGCTGAATTCATACTGTTGGAAGAAATGTCCTTCTGGGTTTGGCTCCAAGTGGGGGAAAAGACACTGGAGGCATGGAGGCTGCTTGGAAAGATGTTTTTAATAGTGGACAGGACCACATGGCTTGAGTCCTGAACAGAAAAGGTGATCACATGCTTCAATGTTGGTGGAGAAGAGAAGAGAAAAAGGGAAGAAGAGAAGCTGAGTCCCTAGTTTTATGCCGGCCTCTGGCCTTTGATCTTGAGCTTGTATTCAGATTGGTTGTAAGACTCCCATGGGGCTATGCAGGGGCAACTCTCTGGCTGCGTTTTGAATCCAGGTTTGGTTGAGTTCTCAGATGCCATGTGGCAAGTTGGGTAAAGGGCCAATATTATCATGCCTTAATCCCATCACTCTGGAGCTGAAGGGGACAACTCTTTATTATGTAAAGTGGACTAGTTCAGGCTTTAATGGCTCATTAACAAAGGGGGATGGGCAGGAAGCTGCAGGCAGCTATTCTGTCTTTTAAAACATGTTTCTTCCTTTTCGCGTCCAGATAAATATTCTGCCTTTTCAATATTTCCTAGGATATTTCATTTTTTCTGGGAGAGGGCTGGGTGATAACTTCCTACAATACTAAGAAGAACATTTTAAACAGAAATGTGAAGATAGTTCTCCCTCGCACTGGAGGCTCATTGTGGGAAAGAGAGCAGGGAGGAAGAAAAATGTGGGATTAAGAATATGGAAAGAAAGACACTATAGCAAGCTCAGTACTACAAACTGTTGGGGTGTAGTATGACCTGTTTCTCAGTACCTGATCAAAACTATGTCAATTCCAAGGAGGAAGCCTTCCCCTTATTTATTTTTATTTTTTATTTATTTTGTCAAGCATGTATTAGACAACATCTATAAGTAAAAACATGATTTTTGATACATGAAATGAATACGGGGGGGGAAAAAAAGAAATATTAGATGAGGGATGGCATTCATGCTGGTTACTTGCTGCCAGCCAGATTCTCCAAAGGGAAACTTCCTTATTTATTATTTTAAATGGTCTCTCTCCCATTTAAAGGGGGGGGGGGGCAAAGACTTTTTTTTTGAAACTCATATAATATTAATGGCTGAAACTTGAAACTTTGGCACCATCAAACCAGTAAGTCTGAGACAATTCTGTTTTGTTTCTGATTTGCCTTAGAGAAGACATGAAATGAACGTGACAGAGGAAGAAAAAATAACTCCCTTTGGTTCATTTATAGAAAATGAATCAATGGATAGTACTGGCTTTCCAAGATTTCTCCACCTAGGGATTTTAGGATTTCTAAAATAAGATTAATCCCAGTTATCTAACAGCCATCTTTTCAATCTTCAACATCTATCCGACATTTAACAGATAGTAAATAGTTAACAGATAATTCTGAAGCTGATCGCTGTTTAATTGCACTTCCTGCTTTGTATTAATTGGTTGATGCCCTTTGTCTAATGGAATTTACATGCATGCTTACTGTAAAAGTATCCACTCAGGCACATTTTAGGAGAATTACGGTAGCAACTGGGTCTCCTAGGAGTTTTTTTTAAAAGCGTTCCACCAACAGAAACTAGCCGGGGTTCTTATTGACAGTTTTGGCTTGCTGTTGCTTGGAGTCGAATTAGAGTAGTTAGGCAAGGGGAGATTAAGGGGCTGGTTGCATTTTACCAGTTGCTCCACCTATTCACTTCCTTCGTGAATCAGAGATTGCTGTCATGAAGACACCTTCAGTTGCGGAGGATGAGGCAACCCATGAATATAAATTAAAGTATGCCCCAGACTTAAGATGTGAGAAGCAAACAGACTTGGTTCCGGTTTGCTACCGCTGCAAATCCTGCATCTTGTCCTGGAAGATTTTTTCCACCCGAGAGTGGTTTGTTCGGGCCAGCCAAGCAACTCAGAGGACGTTCGTGATGGGGATCATCAACCGGTTCGAAAGCTACGATCTCCTGAAATACTCATGGAACCTCCTACAGGCTATCGATGCCAAGGATTTTAACTATTCCCGTTCCAGCGTCAGCTCCACCTTCAGAGCCTCTTCTGCTCTGGATCGGGCAATGGATCCACAGAAACTGGCGCAATCCATGGCGGATCTTTGGAGATGGTTCGCAGGCACCTGCTTTTGGACCAAAGCAAACTACATACTTCTCTTGCTGCAAATGTGCGACTCAAAGTTGTTGCTGATGGCTGCTACTCTGATCCGTATCCTCATAGGTGAACACGAGAATGCCATGCCTGAAAACGTGGAAAAAGGTAAATTTCACTATTTGCCACAATTGCGGGAGCTATTTTTTTTTTTAGCATCAGCGACGTGGGGGAGGGATCGCAGGGTTTTAGTTGTTGATGTTCCACCATCAGGTCTAGTAGTTAAAGCATCAGGCTAAAATCTGGGAGTCTTGAGTTCTAGTCCTGCTTTAGACTGCAGCTGCAAGCCTAAAAGATGACTTTGGGTCAGTCACTCTCTCTGGGCTCACTTCACCAGGTTATTGTTGCAGAGAAAATAGGAGAAGGAAAGACTATTAGGTATGTTTGCTGCCTTGAATTATTTATAAAATTAATAAAGATGGGATTAAAATCTAATAAAGAAATAAACAATGAAGTTTACCCAAGGCATTATCCCATTTTCATCACTCAAAATATCTAATGATCATCAATTAGCTTGCAGCATTGCTGTGTATCATGCTTATAATACCATCCTATATCTGTTGTTCAAGAAAAATACACTAAGTGCAAAAGGAATGATTCGATGGTAAGTAGGTAAATACTGTATATATAATGTGACTGCAGCATAAATTGATATCCAGAAAATAAATTGTAGCGTGGATTGTAGTTACCTGTAATAATTTATGTTCTTAATTTTTGTAACACCAAACTCCTGATGATAGACTGTGAAGCATAAAACACAATACAAAAAATAAAATTGTGTGCCATCAAGTTATTTTTTTACTCCTAGTGACCACATAAATATATTTTATTCATCAGGATATATCCCCAACCTGTTCTTTCAAGTCTCCCAACAATGCATCTATTGCCACTGGAACTGAGTACATCCACCTTGTTGCTAGTTCTCTTCATCTTTTTCCTTCCATCTTTCCTAACATTACAGCCTTTTATTCTGTGTTGAATTATCAAAATTACACTAACAGGAATATCCTATTGATAACTTCTAATCTTTACAAGCTCTCCGGAACTTCATTTTTATCACCTTCCTAAATACTCAGAGAGAAGGTGCCACCTAGATTTCCTGTTCCTGAGTTTCATAATGTGCAATACATTTTGAAGAGAATATTTGCAGCTCAGGTTGAACAATGAGGGCCTTGGTGCTCTCGAGGTTGTTGTTGGGTAATGAAATTTCTACAAGAAATCAGCCAAATTCAGAGAGTGTCCAGGACCCCACAATAAAATATATTTTGAGCCAAGGTGGCGCAGTGGTTAAATGCAGCACTGCAGGCTACTGCTAGATCAGCAGTTCAGCGGTTCAAATCTCACCGGCTCAGGGTTGACTCAGCCTTCCATCCTTCCGAGGTGGGTAAAATGAGGACCCAGATTGTTGGGGGCAATATGCTAACTCTCTGTAAACCGCTTAGAGAGGGCTGAAAGCCCTATGAAGCGGTATATAAGTCCACTGCTATTTGCTATATGCTACCCAGAGTGACTTGTTTTGTGAGATGGACGACTATATACATTTGGGAGGGAGAATAAATAAAACATATTATTTTTACAATTTTATTTCCATATTTTGTCTATGTCTTATGTTCAGCATTCCTTAAGGTATCCACCAAATATAACTTTTTTTCTCCAAAATATTCATCCTGTCATGTCACCGTTCCAAACATGTATTCTTGTGTATATAATTTTTACTCCCAAGGGGAGTAAACAAAATAAATTACTTGTTTGTTCAAATTCCCATGAGGGGAACTTCTGCCAGACTGTTCAGAGGTGAGCTCAGCCTTATTACTGTTTTCTGCCACATGTCCAATCACAACTAGAAGCCTCTATCTGGCTGTTCCCAAGAGAATGAAACTTAGTCTTTGGAGATTCTTGTAAATACATAAGCAACAATAAAGAAGCAACTATTTACAGTGTTCATTCTCATTCCTGGCATGCTGTCTGGAACTGAAAGTTGGGTCTGGAACGGTATCAGATTATTTTTTCCTATTAAAGTACTGTAGCATTATTGAGTGGTATATAAGACTAAGTGCTATTGCTTTTGCTAAATGCCCAAATCTCAGTAGAAGAGCTGAAGAACAAGAAGTTGGTTTCTCTTGTCTTCCCATCTGGAGCCATATTTTTATGAAATTGTTCTGCTTTCCCTTTCCGTTTGTTCTTGCTCAATTATTTTCATCTTTCAATCTATGACAGAAGAATATGAAAAGCGGAGCAAATCTGACATGCGTCCTCTTCTCCCCATGAGATCTACACTTTCCCAAGTGGGTGAAACCCAGTTTCTTTCAAAAGCAAGCAGCGTGTTTGGTATGGTTTGATTTTTATGTACTGTATAATATATACAATATACAATGTAAGTCATGTTTAACATGCAGTTTTCTTTATGTGAACACATTTATATGAATAACAATACTATTTTTTTTCATTATGAAAATGAAAATTCCCAGTGCAGTATGGTCAATCTATGCCCACTTCTGTATATGTTCTATTTGTCAGCATGAGTTTCCCATAAGGAGATAGCAATGTTATTTTGGATTAGACTGAAGACCTGCATATAACTTGTTCTTACAATGGCTGATCACTGCACATGTACAGGTGAAGTCTGTGCAGAGGAAATGAATTATACAGCATATTTCTCCCCACAAACATACCTCTTACATTCCCTTAACATAGATTGACATATAATGATTATAAGCATTAGCAAGTAAGGTGACAAATACTATGGATTTGGATAGCTTATGAGGAGCAGAGTGGCTTGCGTGGTTAGGACACTCTTTTGACAAGTAGCAAGCTTGTGTTTGAGACCCGAGTGCTGCCATGGAGCAGGGTGAGCTTTGCTCTAGCTTCTTTGGGGACATGAATGGGGTCCACAATTGGTATGCATCAGCAATGCTTATGTCACCAGCTAATCCTTTCAACCCAGAAGTGCCTCAGTACCTCTGAAACAACTGCAATGTGATACTTATTGTAGTGTTTTCCAAACTTGGTAATTTCATGTGTGTGGACTGATTGAGGGCTGGAAGGTTGGCTGAGGAATTCTGGGAGTAGAAATCTATGCATCTTAAAGTTGTCAAGATTGAAAAAATAAGGGTTTATTGAGAAAAGGCTAACAGGATTCTAGCTTGCCTGCCTCCTCAACCACTCTTCTAAGACTTTAACTTTAACTTTTAATAGATTTATATGCCGCCCAATCCCGTAGGACAGAGGGGCAGATCTATGTCACTTTTCTCTATTGCACCTAGTAAACAATGTGGAATCCAGTAGTTCATCTATGAATCACTCAGGTTTTGCATTTGGGTTCATTAATGCCTTGTTGTCCCTGCACATTATAACTTGTACCTTGTTTTTCTTTTCTTTTCTTACCACAGGTAATATCCATGTACAAAAGATTTGGTCCAAACAATCAGATAATATCTTCAAAAAAGCACTGAGTGAGCTGGAAAGTGATACTAACTATTTTGCAGTACTGACTTTGCACGCAACCACTCCACCTGCTTCTCCTCAGCTGTCCCCCAACAAATCCAAAGATTTCATCCGGTATCTGCCTGTCCACTTATCAAAATCCATTTTGAGTAAGGATCTTATATCTCCTCAACCTTTTCTTCTCTACAATAGCCACCCCCACCCCACCCCCACCCCCAGTTTGGGATGCTTTCCTTGCAGGAGCCCATTCAATCAACCCAGCTCCCTAGCTGACTGCAACAGTGCTGAATAAGCTATAAATGTTCCATGTTCCTCAGAAGTTAACAAGTATGCAAATAGATAAACAAAGCAATCAAAAGTGAGTTAGAGAGGGAAAAGCAAGGAGTGAACTGGCCAGTATTTCTCCCAGATCCAGAGATTTAAAAGGGCTATATTGACAACACAGGAGAGTGGTAAGAGAGGCCAACCATAAGAGAACAAGGTTTGCCAAGATGAAAATAATCCAAGCTACATGGAAGTTTAGGAATTATTTACAGGATGCGCCCAGCTATTTAACAATGGCTTTAAAGTCCTTCCTTGATGGAACCCCTAAAATATACTATCCGTCAAGAACCGTCCCTACTGAGTCTGAGAAAGTGTGAAAACTGTTCAGGCTTGTAAGAGTGATGGTTAGTTTTACTGGTTGCATTTGTTGTTTTAAACCTGTTGATGGCAAATGGAATCATTCTTCAGTTTAGAATCTGAAGTCTATTATGTTTATCTCAATTTTGTTTTCGTTATTATGGCTCTAAAGAAGGAGTGTCCAACTCAATTTCACTGAGGGCTGCATAGAGTTGTGTTTGACCTCCAATGGCGAGGTGGGCATGGCCAGCTTGACATCACTTGCGTCAAGGGTGCCTGTGGTGGCCCGAGTATTCTGCCAGTGAAAACAGGCCCCCAAGCTCCGTTTCTGGCTGCAATGGCCTTCTGCAACCCTCTGCCCGTGAAAATGGAGCTCGCAAGGTCCGCCTGCAGCTCTCCTGAGCTCCATTTTTATCGGCAGAGGCACTGTGGGGTGGTCCTTTGCTGTTTCCATGGTGGCCCCGCTGGCCACATCTAAGCACCCTGCAATCCGAATCCAGCCCATGGGCCTTGAGTTTGACGCTCCTGCTCTAAAGTCTCAGAGATCCCAAGAACACATTTTGCTCTAATAAATCTGGGAGGATTCTGCTTATACTATAGTCAAACCATTTTAAACTTATTGTAACCAGGGAACAAACTGGCCATCTCAGTTACTACCCTGCTCTTCTACTGAGCTGATGGGGCCCAAACTGATTGGGGGTGGGGAGGAGAGAAACAGTAATTTTGGTGAAATTATTTTTTTATTTTGGATTTTCCAGGAATGTTAGACATGAAAACCTTATCACGATGTGCCTCTGTAAGTCCGCACTGGAACTTTTTGGTCAAACAAGTTAAATGTGATGTAGTAGCAAATTATGTTCTCCGAAGTCAGATTTCATTTTTTCAGGTATGTGTAGTAGATTCATTTCCTCTTATCCAAGCATTGGCATGCATGGAGAAAATTTCTTCCTTGTAATTGCCTCATAAAGGAGCAGGACTTTTTAGCTTCCTTTCCACTTAGCACTATTGTCCTCTTCTTCTTCCTCCGAGCTGCATCTGAGAAGGCAACTTTTAAGCTTGACAGCTGACCAGCTTAACATCTGGAAGAGTGTTCCCCTGGAACATATCTGCCTGACTTAATATGTTTATTATATATAGCAAATGTACAGTGACTTTTTATTCATGCGAACATTATACTCATTTCCAATGAAATATTTGCCTTTCATTGTAGGATCTTATAAATGCTCAGCTCCATCCAGTCGCCTGCCTGAATTAAGAATTTACAGGATCATAAAAAGGGATTTACAATTATTTTATTCTCTAGTGTGGGTGTTTCTTTCCTCCAATTAACAATGTAAATTGTTATTGCAGGGCTGGTTTTACCTGCACATTATTAGGCAGAGTAAAGCAACTAGCTTAGGAAACCATCAGATCTCTCCCACTCTAATTTTATTTATTTATTAAATTTATGTGGTGTTCATCTTGTCCAAAGATGACTCTGAGTGGCTAACAAACATTAAAACTATCACACATTAAAATAATAAAGAAAACATAGCAATTGTACATGTACCACTTCATAATGCTTTACAGCCTTCTCTAAGTTGTTTACAGCAGTAGCATATTGTTCCCAACAATCTGGGTCCTCATTTTACTGACTCTGGAAGGATGGAAGGCGGGGTGGGTTTCAAAAACTTTTATTACCAATTCGGTGGGCATGGCTAGGTGGGAGGGGCATGTGACTGAGTGGGCTGCACATGCCCACTCAGTCATATGCCTGCCCCCCCAGCCATGCCCACCAAACCAGCAAAAATTTCTGCTGGGAGGCTAGCAAAAAAGCCTCGTTTTCTCCACTGCCACAGCTGCTGCTTCCTCAGCGTTGAACCCCCCCCCCAGCCTTTCCCTGTGCCTCAGCATTGGCCAGCATCTCCCAAAGCCAGTGCCATTGTAACCGTGACGGACGGGCGGTAGGCCAGCAAGCTGGGCACCCAAAAATGGTGCAGAGGCACAGGCATAGGCTGGGAGGGGGTGCAACACACTGAAGGCTCCCACAGTTCCTGACTCCTCTTCCATCCTCAGCTGTTGCGAAGAAAAAGAGGCGACTCTGGGTGGGCGGCGCCCGCTTCATTCTCTTTGATAGCTGCCTTGCAAAATGTCAGAAAATTTCTCTCAGGGCAGAATTTCACAACCTTGCAGGTTGCCACTCACTTTCTACTAGGAATTGAGATCGCCAGACTCAAGGATACCTACATTTGATGCAGCATCTGCAGGACCACAATGCGCATAGTCTTCAAAGCACCACAGCCGTCTTCTCGGGGTTCCAGATTTCTGGAATTTCTCCAGTAGGAAAACGAGCGCCTAGACCCAGCAAGCCTAAAGGGGAGAGGGGGCTGAAGGCAGCTAAAGGAGACGTTTTCCCACTTGGTGCTTCTACCTCCTTTCTCCCCCTTCCCAGACAACAGGCCATCAAGCCTAAACTTTCACATTGCTTTTTCGGTCCAGCAGGGGGAGTGGGCAGGCCAGAGCCGTGTGGCCGTGAATGGGCAAGTCGAGAGGGGAAAACGCAGGTATGTTGGGTGCCTGCCCGCCTGCTCAGAATCTGCTTGTTCCTCTCCAGATTCTCTCTGCATCCTCACTTTTATTCCTGCAAAACATGGTGTTAACCATGAGGAGAAGTGGGGCAGGTGAGAGCAGTCGTGGGTCCAACCCAGTCAACCTCAAGAGGTGACTGAGAGGAAGAGTGGTGCTCGCTGAGGTGACTTAGCTTGCTTTCCCGTTTCCCTAGCAGAAGCCTTCTCCCCCTCACCCTCATTTTTCCCCAGCCACACTCACCTCACACCACTCCATCACTGCACAAAGCAGCTAGATGGGGGAGGGGCCCCCATCTCATGAAGCCACCGCTGTTGTACCTACAATGGGGATGGGGGCAGGCCGGCAAGCTGGGTGCCTGAAAACAGCTTGGAGGCTGGGAGGGGGGGTGCAGGAGGTTCCCTACAGTTCCTTGGCTCCTCTTCCATCCTCAGCTGTTGCAAAGAAGTGGCAGCTCTGGATGCACCACACCCCCTTCATTCTCTTTGAAAACGAAGCAGGCTGGTTTGGGGGTGTGGCCAGCCAGCCGTCACTACCAGTTTGGCAACCCAGGCCCAATTACCACTACCAGTTCGCCCGAACCGATGCAAACTGGGAGCAACCTGCCTCTGATGGAAGACTGAGTCAACCTTGAGCCAGTCAGAACAGAACTGCTTGCACCCACCAGTATTAGACTGCAATACTGGATTCTAACCATTGCACCACCATGTCTTTTATAAAAAAGAGTAATAAACATTGTTAAAAGATGGAGAGGAGGGGAACACAAAAGACATGGGGAGAGGTGGGGTGTTTCCTAATCCAATAACTACCTCTAGAATGGTGCAACCCCCTTGGAGCTCTGGGCCAGCGGGCAGAGCCAGATGTTCAGGCCATTATGGAAGGTCAAAAGGGAAGGAGTGGATCTTACATTGGAGATTATGATGTTCCAAAGGGCAAGGAAGAAAAGACTGTCTTACTATGCTTCCTTCAAGTGTGGTAGAGGGTTCTGTTTTATTGCCAGTCATCTGCCATTATTCCAACTAAATCTGCCTATCTCTCTCACAATAAATGTGATGAGGAAAACTTGATGAGGCCACAATTATACCCTAGTCCCCAAATGCTTGTTTTCTTGCTCTGAATTAGATGGTTTGTTTCAAAACGATATCAGTGTTAAAATCTCCCTGCACCATTAAAGACAGTAGATTGAGCAAAGCCATCTCTAAATTTGATCTTGACTTTTCACAAAGAAATGTGTACTGTATGTTTGTAGCATTTTGGATTTACCTTTTCAGGAACACATTTATTTAAGGAACTGTATCCTGTGCAGTATTATGAATTTGCAATTTTGCTATCTGTTTCAGGGCTTATGTCCTAAAGGAGCAATTTCCACCTATGCCAAAATAGTAAAGGTTGCTATTCCTCGCATAACAGCAAATGGTGATATAGTTCTAACCAAAACTAAGAAGCAATTCAAGGTAAATTGTGGATACTTTTTGTGCTGTCCCAACAGTATATAGCTAATGTAGGAATTAAGAACTGTCTCCTTTAAGAAACTACCT